TGCTGGTGTGTCGGGGATCTCCATGCTGGTGCCGTGTGTGTATATATGCACATATCTAACGTCTGGCAAAATTCTCAAGTTCAATTATGTGCAGCCCGTGCTGTAGCTCAAGTCAAAAAGAGACTCAATACACGATAGGTGAAAGATGAATCAATGCCTAACCGATGCCTTCTCTCCCTCCCCAGTGCTCAGTGACTTGTGGGAACGGCACGCAGGACCGCCAGGTTCTGTGCCGGACGAGAGACAATGCCGTTGGCTTCTGCAAAGACGATAAACCCGAGACTGTCAGGATCTGCAGACTACCTCCCTGCCCCAGTGAGTGCTCAGCTCTTTGTCTCTGTGCCTGACATGCACGATTTGAAAAAAAAAAAAAATGTCAACTGCATTTGCTGAAATTCTTGAACTGAACTCGCATGCCTGCAAGAGACCCCTGCTCGGGTAGCTGCTGCTTAGCAATATAGACCAGAAATCAAGTGCCGGTGGGAGGAGGAGGATTCCCAAGAGTTTTGTTTGTGCGGCTGCCATATGGACCTGCCAGGGGTAGTCTGCCACACTTCCTATGCTTCTGGAAACTTTATAGTGTGGACAGGGGATACCAACTAGTGCAGGCTGGAAGCCAGGAGGGCAGGCCCCACTCCAGTAGAGGTAAAAGATGTCAAAGCTGCTGGTTAACAGCTTCCCCATGGTTAGAAACCTGTTACCTGCTGCTGGTCAATGTTGGGGCTTCTCCACAAGATACCAAAAAGAAGCAGTACCAGCCATGCCGACATGGGCCTTCTCCTGCTCCAGCCGTCACCAGTGATGACAGCTCAGGGCTCTCGCTTTGTCCCTTCTGTGACAAGTAGCCATCTTCCTTGATGGGTCATAAGTTGGTGGCTGCTTAGGCTAAAATATTATTACCTGTCTGTCCTCACCGGCCTGTCTTCCATTTGCATGCATTACTTAGGATCATTTTTTAAATCATTAAAATGATCCAATTAGGATCATTTTAAAATCATTTTTAATGTAACAGTTAAGATTTAATGAACAACTTCATATTGTTTATTAATTAGTTCTCAACATTCGCATTGCTATTGTGTAAGCATAAATATGGTTACTCTGCTGACTTGATCAACAGGCTCTCACTTATCAATCCCAGCCCAGAGACTTTAAACGGAGCAGTTAGGCCCAGATCTGATGTCCCTTAAAACGCCGTGCGAAATTAGTACTTCTCATTCTTCCTCCATAGCTTGCTATCCCACTCCGAGCACAGGATGGGAGGCCTTGAACTTGCAGCCCATTACACAGCATAGCAACACTCTACTTGTCCTCCGAGCCAGCTCAAGCTGTATTCGGCAATTTAGTTGTAAAGCTGTTTCTTGTTAACACATCTTGTATTGATTTATTTTTCCGCCCCTATTCTAGGAAATGTTTCTGATCTGTCAAAGAAAACCTACATGATACAATGGCTGTCGAGACCAGATCCGGACTATCCCATCCAGAAAATATCTTCAAGTAAAAGACCCATTTATAACTCTGCCTTTGCCCTTAAATGCATGCCACATCAAATGTGGACTTTGCCTTTTGCTCTCTTCCTCTCTCTATATGGAAAATTCCCTTGACTTTTCCAAGTCAAATCTTGGGCTGAATCTTTATTTCACGCTGTGCCCTGGGTGCACAGTGTCTTTCTTCTCTGGAGCTGCTATAGCCCTGGTGGTGGAGGTCTAGAAGTTGGCTGGATGTGTGACGTAGGATCTCCACAGTATGTTGCAGTCCTCCGAAAGGGAGGTGGGATCAGTTTGCTTGTCGCTTGGTGATGGTGAAAAAAGGCTCGCACTGGTTCATGATGTTCAGTTTGATAGCAAAACTGAGAACTTATTGTGAATGTGATCACATCACAATAATGACACCTTGTAGTGCTAAAGTTCTCCTTTATCTAATGGCCCTAAATCCCATAACGCTCTAGTTTCAGTTTTCCTTACAGGGTAGTCTGTTGGATGAAAGAATCGATTCATTCCATCTTCCGTCGCGGTGCCATTGCTTGCTCACCTGTGCTGCTCCGATGTATTCCTGACCTAAAATTTGTGTTCGTTACTGTGCCGGGCTCATTACTTACCAGTAGCTCCGTTTCTGTTTGTACTTTAAATGCTGCTCCTGTGCCGTATGCTTTCTTCCAACTTCTCTGCTTGTGTTTTCAATATTTTATTTCAAAAGCTGCGACATTTGTTTTTCTTCACACAGCTTTGCCAGTTTTGCGGGGTTTTTTTTTTTTTCCCTTTTTTATAAAATGCAAGTGGTTCGTGCAAAAGGTTTGTGAGTTTAAGTGGTCAAGGCAATATGACGTTTTCATTCATATGATGTCTCAATCTGCTCAACGTTGGGCTACTTCTGATCATTACATCCATTGGTCTTTTTTCACCATATGCATGTTTGACTTGATTGGTACGATCGTGTGTGCGTGTGTGTTCAATAGACGTGTCAACTGGCAAACATAACAGTGTGAACAACGACAGAATTACCTCAATTTTTATTGCTTTTTTGCTTAGGGAAAAAAAAAAAGATTTAGAAAAATGCCTTAATGTTGAAATGTAGATGGCATTAACTACAAGATCCAGCTTTAAATACAAACAGTACATTGGTACCACGAGTTAATCTTCATATTCAGCATTTTTACTTAAATGACATGAGAAGGAAGCAGATTTAATCCATGGTTAATTTGCGCAGTCCATGCTCATTTCGTGAAGAAAAGGTCATTATTTAACTTCTCAACCTTGAATTGGCATTGCTGCTGTACCTCACGTGTTTGCATTGGGGATCTGGAACTCGCTTGTCATAAAAACCATTTGACATCAAGTAAGTGTAGAAGCACATTGCTTTTCAAACAGCAGTCCTGGACTTAACACAGTACGTTGCTACCTTACTCCATTGCTCATGTCCCTTAGGAAGGTAGCACTTCGGATCGCCAACAATGTAGCACTTCAAACTTGTCATTATCATGTGATCACATACTTAAATTTTGCTGTGAATATGATGATTTCCTGAAACATGTTAACAATTTACCTGACAAGGTGAAAAAGCAAAGACACGTATCTGGCACTGAATACTGTTATGTAAAATTATTGGTGTTTAACTGTATAAATATATTCATGACTGTTACCTTTAACTAGACAACTGTTTAGTGATGTTACAAGATATGGGTGGCTATAGAGAATGGTGCAATAAGGTATCTGGGCATTGTGCACTATGTCTATATGCACTTTGGTTTATCAGGGATATTTTATTAGTGTTTTGTATGTATTTAACATAATATTAAAGATGTGCCAATTCAGTTTGCTTTTCAATATTTTTTTATGAGACCAATTTGATGTGTACCAAAGTGACTGTGAAACTTATTTTTTTCTTACTGATGATTTAAAGACCTACTTCCAGTCTGTCATGCCTACTGCAAATAAAAGTAATAAAAGTGCAGCAAACCTGGAGACTTGGGTTTGGAACGACAATGCCAAATGTCATTCCTGAGTTATGAGGTTCATGTTTATTAATATAAAATATCATATGGAACTAAAGGCTATTCCATAACTGAATTTGATTCTCAGGTCACTTTTTGTGGTGAGCATTGCACTTTTTTTTTTCCTGGAAAAATAAGGCATTTTTCTAAAGATGCTTCTACTGCCTCTTATAACATATGCCCCAAAAAGAAGCTGCCCTTTTGAACCTAAATTGAAATAGTAGCTTGTAAAAATATTGAAAAGTTTGAATTAGAGCCAGAGAAGCGCAGGGCAGAGTGCTCAGAGGGGCCTCCATGCAGCGTGTGACTGCCCAGACGCACAGTTGTGTGCACAAAAGCTTGCACCTGCAGCTGGAGAGGCCAGTTTGAACACGCGTCCCAAGCACAGTCTTTCTGCTCCGAAGGGAGTTGTCTTCCGGGCGCCTCCTCAATTTGAGATTTGGAAACTTTGAAAATGCACTGACTCAAGGAATTGTATGTTTGTTCTTCTACAGAAAATGCGAGAGTCGGTGCAAAACTGGGCTGCTTGCAAGAAAAGTGTTTCTAATCCTGTCAGTCATTGCTAGATTTTCAAAGCAAGAGCAATAATCATTAGCATACGCTAGACTGATATGTTTGCCAATTAAACACCTACCATACCCTAGCTGAGGATGAGTGAAGAGACCGCACTTCTGCTTTCTAGATTCACTTTACTGTCTCCTAACCTGCTCCCGTGCTGTAGTTTGATGCAACGTTGCCGTGAGATTCGACCAGTTTTCGCTTTGAGCTGCCAAAGTCTGATATCGGTAATGCTAAACTCACCTGGCTGGGCACCCCCCTGCAGGCGCGCGTGCTCTGAACGAAGGAGGGGACACGCTTTACCAGGACAGAGCCCAGCCCCCACTGCGTTACACGGCACTGGAGTATGGGACGATGCCGCTGCCCTAGCTGGCTCCACGCCACGGGGCACTGGGACTGCTGAGAAAATAACCCATCACCCTACTGATTCCTAGTAGGAGGGCAGGCATCCGCAATGATTTGGGGGATGGGTATGAACTTTAGCTGCATTTTTGCTTCAGTTCCCACTAGCTCCTGGTTCTTGGCATCAGACCAGACAGTGTCTGTAGCTCTGGGGTGCCTGGCAGGCGTTTGGGGGCAGGCAGCTTGCTGTCCTAGGCTGCACCAGAAGGACACAGGTGGAGATTTGTAGCCTTGCTGGCTCCTGCCATCCAGCTGCTAGGAGTCACAGCATCTCCCCTGTCACTGGACAGACCAGCAGGGTCTGTGCCAGTGACTTCAGACTACATTTGGATTAATGCTTTGGAATAAGAAAAGCCCCTTGCATTTCCTTATGCTGAGTTTTGTCACGTGCAGTTGAATGACACCAAACCTAGCCCTATACATTTGTTGTGGGGCATCAAGTACTCGGGGCTATTGTAATAGTCCCTCCAACCTCCGCTTCGGGAACTCTTTGTTTCTCATCGCTATACCACTTCTTTGCTCTGGTTTACACGATGCAGAGCTTCCCTGTCATTTTGGGAAGTCGGCAGGAGTCATGTGTGCTTGTGCAATAAGTTCAGAGGATTCAAAGGGATTCTTTAAAGGCGTAAAGGGTTTGTGCCAAAGTCTTATCTTGCATGTAGGGAGGAGTTCAGGAGATACCATGCTCGGCATAAAGGGCCAAGGAATGACTTCAGTTCCAGGAACATCCAGTCCACGCACAGATAAGACTTTGGCTTTCAGAAGCTCAGATTTAAATAATCCCGTGGCTGAGGTTACTGGCTGTCTACATGCCGTTCCTCCTTGTCCGCAGCGGCGTTGCTGTTATGCTGCAGACCAGTGTTAGACGGGTGAAGGCGCAATGACTTCCTCATGCAAATACTACTCATTTGAGTGACGGAGGAGCTTCAAGGCACTTGGCAGGAGCCATATAGTCTTGGTGATGTTCTGCTTTATAGCCACCTAGGAGGGTCGTACAACTGCAGCTCAGTTTTGAATCCAGCACTCTGGTAACGTGAAGGTCAAGACTCGGAGCCCAGCGTGCAAAATTCAGATTGGGCTCCATGATCACCTCACTTGTGTGGGTGCAGGATTTAGCTCCAATATAATTAAAAGGGCTCGTTTGACAGTATCCTGCCCCAGCTTGTACTTCAAACCTTGTCCCCATTGCCCCGCTTCAGCAGTGGTTGGTTCCCTCTGACTTTTAGGACACTTGCTTTAAATGCTTTGTGCGGGCAAGAGCTTTCTTTGTCACGCACTCTTTATTTACTTGTCCTCTCTCTCTTTCAGAGGAGCGGTGCCAAGGAGACAAGTCCATGTTCTGCCGTATGGAGGTCCTCTCTCGTTACTGTTCAATTCCTGGTTACAATAAGCTCTGCTGCAAGTCCTGTAATCTGTATAACAACGTAACGGAGGGCAGCAACGTAACCGATTCCAGCGTGGATAAAACGAACGTCATCGAGGAGGAGATCCTGTCAACCCTCGCCACTCCCGCCGGGCTTCCCAGCACGCAGCCCACGACCAGCCCTCTTCCTGTCCCCAAACCAGCGGGCACGGCCGCGCCTTCCAATACAACTGACGACCACCCGGAAATTAATGCGGTGGACGTGCCCTATAAAATTGTTGGGCTGGATAACGATGTCTCTCAACATAACATCATCGCGCAAAGGAGACTGCCTCATGAAAGGACAAGGAACCAAAGAATTCAAGAGCTGATTGCCGAGAAGAGGAAAAAAGAGACTCTTAGGAAGATAACTTAAAATGGAAATGTGGCACAAACAACATTTTTTTTTCTCTTATAGAGATGTTACCAACAACCATAGTAATGCCCATGTCATAGAGACTACAAAAAAAGAAGAGTGGTGCTATGGCAGAAATGCCAAATTCTGAAGTCTGCAGGAAATGGAGTTGACAGATTGTCTCAGAAATGCTTTTATAAACACGATGATGGCTAGGTTTACAGGGTGCTATAGAATATTAATGTCATATTGATACAGTATTTCACTGAATGCGTACAAACCAGGGTGCTTAGGCTAGGTCGGCAGGCTTATTAATGGTCTCTGTTCATCTCTCTGCATGTGTGCATAATCCCTGGGAGTGCATTCAGCATAGAGAGCAGACCCCAATACCTACTGCTGCCTCCACGAGTGGTCAAACATCCAGAGCAAGACCTTTAAGCATCGATAAGATCAGGCACTAAATTCATCTCTGGTTCAGGACATGCCATGGTACGCAAGGACACGCCTGACTTGAAGCACCAAATCATCCCGTGGACTGTACTGGTCTTACTCATTTGGTTTCAGTTGGGCTTGTGCTTGTGTATCCTTTCTTAATTTGGACCTTCCCATGGTCTGGGTAACACTAAAGAAATGCCCAGACATAACCACGGGGATTTTTCATGTTCCCATAAACAAGTGTTACAGGATTTCTCCAAAAGTTTGAGCCTAAAAATATGTACCCAGTGTTTGGTTGGATTTATCCCACATAGACAGCCGGTGCCCTGGCACTTCTGTTTACAAGGATTTTTATTCTGTGGTCTTTGAATTCCTGTAACAACAGCCACGGTGGTCATAGTTGGCATGTCTTGGGTCCGCCTTTTACCCACACTCTCTTTAACTGAAAATAACTGGATTCTCATTTCCTTTCCTTTTGGTGCTTTGTGAAGAAAATGTAATTTTATTTGTTACATTTTTTCCACGGTACAGTTTTATCCTGGAGGAAAATATTTTATATTATCAAGACTTCCTTAGGACAGCTCTGTTGTTGCCGAATGAACAACTGATTTTTCGTTATGCTTTCTATATACACACTGTATCGGGCAGCTTAGATCTTAGAGATGTGTAGCCTGACAATCCTTTGGGTGCTTCCTTCCCCCTCAGGGTCTTCCACGAGCTGATACACTGCAGCATCGTGTTTTCCTTTGCTCACGCTATGGGTTGGTTTATAGCTTTCGGTAAGGCCATGCGCGCTGTTGGATGCCAACACGTATTGCAAGGAAATTGTAGCCTTATAGTTATCTTGCAGGATAAGGAACATGTACATTAGGAACTGAGGGTTTCACCCGAAGTCCACTGAGATCAATGGAAAAGACTGCCCGGCCGCGTCCACATGAACGTGGACGTTTGGTTCCCCCGGGGACATGTAGCGGTGGCCCACCTTGTGCCTCCGTGAGTTGTCCCCAGGGAACGCCTGGACCACGTGCTCTCCGGTGCACGGCAAGTTACCCCGGGGTGGTAGAGGAGGCTGGGGCTAGCACTGGGGTCCTTGGGGCCTCTTGGGGCTGCAGCGGTGGCGATCCTGCCACTCGGAGTCTGGCTGGAGTGTGGCTCCGGCCGGCCAGGCTTCATTTTGAGTGGCGCATGCTGCCCCCACGTGCATCGCCCCACTGTTGTTTTGTGCAAGTTTTTTTGACCCCTGGATATCCAGGCATCAACCCCCTCCACGCTCCCCCGCAGTGTGGAGAACAGCCGAACGTGCGGTATGTGGCACTGCAGACGTGCCCGCGGTGCCACAGCCGGCACGGCTACGCTCGTGTGGACGCGGCCCTTTCGGCTTTAAGTATGTCTGCCATCTCGAGAAGGCTGGGACAAGGAGCACATTTAGTCCACTTCAGGTGACTTTACCACTAAGGCGATGGGGACGAGAAGCGTGTTTGCCTCACCTCCACACCACTCTTCAAGGTCGGCGATACGTGGCAGGCGGTAGAGTCCTTGAGACTCCTCACTTGGTGTCTGTGTGAAATGAGCGGCCAAACGGTCTCCTTCAGGTTGCTACTCCGGTCTTTAGAGCAGCGTATCCAGCTCTCTCCCCTTCCTCGTGGGAACCATAAGCCTGCAGTGGCCTTTGCAAAGCTAGACTGGACAGAAGTTAGATGCCCCCGAACATGTCCTTGGGTTAGCTGCTGGCAGCCAGGCCACTACTGCAGTGCAAAGCACAAGTGGCTTCCTGCTGCATGCTCGAGGACAGGGGCCACTAGTGCAGTGCAAAGCACAAGTGGTTTCCTGCTGTATGCTCGAGGACAGGGACCCGGCTTCTGCTTTGAAAAACCACGGCTGGATAGGTGGCAGTTCCCATGCCAGAGCGCAGCCCTCCGCACCGAACTGTTGGCAGCACGAGGGGAACCCAGCTATTAAGGGAGCAGAGCCAACATTTAACCAAAATAATTTACTCAGTCTATGAGTCCAAGTGCCAAACTTCTCCCTGGTTCAGCTCCTTCACGTGCCCATCCTTGGAGAAAGCCAAGCAAATGTTTCCGAGGTGCTCCGACAAGACCACGAATATTCAGGGACTAGATAAAGAGCTTTTATCGAATAGGGATCATCTCAGGGAGCGACACAAATATCAGGCGGTAATACCATCCCGTCCAGGGCTTCTGCAGGACGTGAACCCTGGACCCCTGGATTTGAAGGCAGGATCCCCAGCGGCGTGAGCTGATAAATGCAGGCTCGGAGATGCTCCAAAGAGCCACGCTTTGCCTTCGCAGGCGGCACAGACGTAACCGCTGCCGTTTCTTCCCACCGCACCGGATGGAGAGTGTGTGCCATTGAGGTAGGCAGGGGCAGGTGCCCTCCAGTTGAAGTAATGGCTCAGATCCAGGCAAGTGGTCAGTGGTGCCCTGGTCAGAGTTGGGGGATATTGAGACATTTGCTGCATCCCGGCGGGCTGATGTTCTTACAGATGCTGGAGCAGGGTAACTCCCAGCTCCAGCAGTTTCCTTGTGGTGAAGAGAAGAGCAAGACTCAGAAAACTGCGTGTACCGACGCACCTCTTCTGTGACGGGGGAGAGGTCTGCAAAGAAAAGGTCGGCGAGACAGCGGGAAGAAACGGTGGCTGCCAGCTCACAGCTGACAATGGGAGGAAGCCTTGTGATTTCAGGGACTCTACCGAGCTTGTGATTTTTTTTTTTTGCCGCACGTTCAGTATGCAACAAAACGGGTGTCTCTGCGCCTGGCTCGGGCAGAGACCAGCAGAGCGTGCACCCGTGGAGAGGTCGAGTTGTCCCTGTATCTGCACAGTTAGGGCTGTGCCCCTGAGAGAGGAGGGCTGTTACCATCATCAAGCATGTTTGCTTACGACAGCAGTGCTTCCGACCCAGCCAAAATGAGGGTCCCGTTATTTTAGGCACAGCGCTAGACAACCCCTGCCGCAAAGTGGTCACAGCCTAACTCAACCAGGCAGATGCGCTCCAGCACGGTCCCCAGCCAATATCCCTTTGCACAGTTTTTCAGGGATGGCGGCCTGGGCACGTAGATTGGGATCGGAGCAGAGGAGCGCACAGCTGAAGATTAGTAAATGGGAGCTTAATATTAAACTCTCATGCAGAAAAGCAACAGGGAGTCACAGTCACTTCCAAAGTGAAGGCAAGCTCCAGCGACAGCTGTTTCCAGTGCTACGGGGGTCTGGTTGCCTGTGTATAAACTAGAAGAGTACAGCACCAGGAACAGAGAGAAAAGGGAAAAGGCTACTCATTCCTATGTAAGAAAGAAGTAGTTGAATCACTGCAATTACACAGGAAATCTAGATGCAGGACAAGCCAAGCTGGATTTGCATTTCCCTGGCAGGAGTATCAAGTGTTTCATGTTTTCCATCTTTCTTCTGCTCGGCTGCTACAACGCAGTGCAAGTAATACTCATCCTTTTTAAATTACCATCTGGCCTATAAGGTTATGACAGGATTAAAAGAAGCTGTGAACCTTGGCTGTACACCCAAGGAGCATATCCGAGTGTGCTATCAAGTGACACAGCTAGGAGCAGGGAGTCCCCGAAAGGCCTGGGTTGGATGCGTTGCGGCCCTGCTCTATCTGTAGTTCTTCCTTCCTCTGTAGGCTCGAGCTGACTTGTACAACGTAGTTTCCTCTGCTCTTTAGTGTGTGGACTGAGTCTGGCCAGCCAGAGAAGATGACATGCCCAGTACCCTCCCACAGCCTTGCAAATAGCGGGTGGGGAGGGGGATACTGGGTGTAATGGTTGCGAGCGTCCCCCCAGGAACGTGAGAGTAACGTCTCACCCTGGAGTTGAAATGTGGTGTTCTGCTTTCTTTGAATAATTCACTCCTTAGGAGCCAGTGCCTAGAGGTTTTGTAGCAGGTGACCAGTCACCCATTGCACTAAAGTGAAAGGAGCCGGCGGTGACCCCTCTAGATACCAGCTTCTTACAAAGCTCGAGTCCTCTGCGAACTTGTCCTGAGCAGGAGCAAATGTCACAGAGCGCAAGGCTGGTGCAGATACATCTCTAGCATCCCACCCAAACGGCACGCCTCGTTTCATCTGTGTATATAAATTAGACCTTTGACTCGTTTAGTCCCTTTGTACTGGGTTTTCACTCTACCTGGCTTTTTCCCCTTGGCTCTTTTTAATACACTGCATCCCTTTTCTGTCCACATTGTAATCTTCTTTCTTTTCTGTGCCAGAGTCAAACTCTTCAGTCCAAATAATTGAAGAAGGTTAAAATACCAACCCGTGCGTGTTTACCTCCGCTTCTGCTTGCTGGGACACAGCTGCGTGTCATCCCCTCTTGCCAGTATTTCTGTGAGACCCCTTCCCTCGGCCACGTGAAGCGCATTGTGTCAAGTCCGCAGAGACCGCGTTCATCAAAACGTCAGCGTGATAACTTAGCAATATAAGCCATTCACATGTTAAACAGGCCAAGAGATCAGTGATTATGAGCAACCAACAGCTTGGCACCTGTCCTACGGTTACTCTTTGTGCCTTTACACATGGTGTAATACGTGGATTTCTTATTGGCTTGTGAAACTTTAGACAGCTGCTTCCTTTTGCAGTGCCGCCTTTTGTGTATAACTATAATTGGGCAAAAGTGTAATTACAGTATACGTCCTTGGAACGTTTATCCATCGCCTAAGTACTACTTTTTGATGCATCACAAGTACAGGGCAAAGTGCCAATTTAATTCAACACAGTACCCAGGAAGAAGACATGAATCTGTTTCCACATAGATCTGGCTCTCCTGGAG